GTCTCCTTGTTCTGCGCCTCATTGTGAGTGCAGGGAAGGGAAGGGAAGGGAAGGGAAGGGAAGGGAAGGGAAGGGAAGGGAAGGGGTGAGAAGGCAAGCAGGCAGGCAGGGAGGAAAGCAGGAGGGAAGGCAGGCAGATGTAGGAAACCCAGGAGAGAGGATATTATTGGGTATTTTCACACCGCGTAAGCAGCGGCACAACATTCTTCTGAGCTTTCCTCCGCTGCAGGCCCTGTCCCAACCGGTGCTCAGGCACCCGGGCAGGGGTGTGTGGAAGAGCAGCAGCCGCTCAGGCCTCCAAAATCCCCTGTGGAGCCCCTGGAGCCTCAGTCCTTCCCTGCGGCCGGCCCCGGGGACGGGACGGGCGGCCGGGGGCACAGTGGCGCTGAGGAAGGTCCCTGCTCTGCGGTGGAGGTATAAATCCAAACACTTGAAAAATTAGAAAATTAAGTACCTGGCCCCAGGAGAAGCATTCCTTTGCCAGGGATAGATTGTTTCCCACCTCCCAGATAACAGGCAATTTTCTGCCCGGCGCGGGGGTTTTGGCGCGGGAGCTCCTGGTGCGGTTTCTGAAGCCGCCCTGAGATGACGGCAGGCAGCGCTGGGCGTACCCAGCCCTCCTGGGCGGCAGCCGGCCGGGGGGGGGGGGGCGCGCCGGGGGCAGCCTGCCGCTGGAGCAGCGCCCGTCCCTCCGGGCTGGGGCTCGGGAAGGGGCACGGGGCTGTGCTGGGGCATCGCCACCCTGCCATGGGGCTCTCCAGAAGTTACCTCCTTTCTCCTGCGTCCCGGTGCCTTACAGGGACCAATGTCCTCAACTCTGGCGTTAGCCGAGGCAGCTCCAGTACCCGCAGTCTGGGGCAGAGGAGGGGTCGTTTCTGCTTTCTGGCAGCCTTGCCCCAGCCCTGCAAGCTGCTGCAGCCCGGAGCAAACCTCGGGTCTGCTCCCTGCTTCTCCCCAGGGCCCTGAGGTGGGAGAGCAGCTCTGGGTCTGTGCTGGGATGCTGCTGGACACGGGGCAATGCTGAGAGGCTTCGCAGGCAGGAGACCTGCCCGGGCTGTGGGGGAGCTGCTGGGGAGCTCTCGGCTGCCCACGGCCCCGCCGGAGACCCTGGGAGCTCACCGGGCTGCGGGCCTCTCCCCGAAGCTGCCGTCTCTCCAGCAGCCCCCTCCAGCCTCCCGGGGCTGTCAGAGCCTCAGGGCTGCCGTGTCCCAAGGAATCCCCTCTTGGAGGTGGCACCGGGCAGAGTCCGGCTCTCAGGATGGCTCCGCTGCCTGCAGCGAGCCCGCGCCTGGCTCTCCTGCCCCAGGGGTGCACCCACCGGCGCCCAGGCCCGCGCTGCCACCGCCGGCAGGAGCAGGGGTGTGCCGGGGGCGCTGGGGGCTGCGGAGGTGAGCGCGGTATTTCGGATGTCCCAAAGGGAGGGCACGTCCCAGGCAAGGTGCTGAGGCGCTGGTTTGGCACCAGCTCGGCAGTGAGGTGGTGTCTACCACGGCTGCTGGTGTGCCGGGGTGTTTGCACGGGACGGGGCTCCAGCCAAGTGGATCTGTTGTCTTCATCATCTTCATCATCTCCTTTTTGAAGCAGATTTCAGGCCTGGCTGATAAAGACACCCATGTTGATAGAGGGTGATTGGATTTCTGCAAGACGTTTGGCTTAGTACGGCACGACGGTTTGATTAAAACCCTCTCGTTACACGAAATGAAGCGAGCGCACGTTGGGCAGATGAGAAGCCTGTCCTGGCTAACGGGGAGCGCTGTTCGTGGGGAGCCAGCCCACAGCGGAGCGGCGCAGCAGGACCCGGGGCCCCAGCCACAGCCGCCGGCATCGCATTTTTTGAGCGGCCCATAATTGCAATCAAACATAATTGCAGGTGGCTGGGTGTTGCCGAGCTCTCCCTGCCCAGGAAAGGGGTTCCTCTGTGCCCCTGCCAGCTGGATTTGGGGAGTTGGAGCGGAGGACGCTCGGTGGCTGGGGCACGGGGCCGGCACCAGGGTCCTGCCCTGTCCTGGGACCTGCCTGGGGCCCGGGGAGATGCAGCCCGAGAGCAAGGTGGGTGACAGTGGGGCCTTGAGGACATGCTTTTGGGGCCCTCCTCCCCCCGTGTCTCCCGTGCTGTGCCGTGGGAGGAACAGGGGCTGACAACCCTGCCCGGCACGGCTGCGGCTCAGGGCAGAGCAGCTCTGCACGGCCGGTCCGAGCCGCTGCCAGTGAGTCCGGGGCTGAACAGAGGCTTGGGGACCAGTTCCCCTCCCAGAGTCCCATCCTTGATCCCGCCGGAGATCTCCGGAAGGTTTTTCCTCCTGCGGGTGCTGGCAGCGGGCTGGGTACAGCCTGGGTCCGGGGAGAGGGGATGAGCAGCTCCCTGCCTAGGAGCACCGGTGATGCTCGTCAGCGCTAACGAGGCCGAGCGGGGAGCAGTGGCCCCTTGGCCCCGCGCTGGGAGGTCTGTGCTGGTGTCAGGTGCCCGGGCTCGCAGCGAGGAAAGGGGAAGGCGCTGGGGTTTGGGGTCTCGGGGCGTGCGGCTGGGAAGGGACACGGGAAGGTAAACGGGACCCCGCGGGGACAAGGGACGAGGAGCCGGGAGGACGGAGGGGACCAGCTCTCTGCAAGCGGAGCTCACAGTCATTAATAGTGGCGTTGGCGCTGCACGGGAGCAGGGGCACAGAGGGAATGCAATTATTACGTGAGATTCCTAGCAGCGAGATGTTCGCTCGCTACCGAACGGCCGTTTTTCGTGCCTGGGGTTTTGTCCGGCATTCAGCAAGCGGCTTCGTGCCCGGGTCCCCCGTCAGGAGGGGGAGCAGGAGGGGCAGAGCCCCCGTCCCGCACAGACCATCTGCCGCCTGTACAGACGGACGAAGCACCAGGAGATCATTAGTGCTGTCGAGAGGCTGTGCACAGGTATTGATGCTCGAGATAACAGGCTTTGGAGTGTGCTTGAGAGTTGCTTACCACCCCCGTCAAGCGGAGACCAGGTTGTTAAGGTGCTCCGACACCCAGTTACTGGTTTTCCCCCTCCTCACCCCGGCTGAGAGCCACCTCCATGCTGGTCCAGGGGGACACGATGGGTGCTCTCCGGCCAACGAGGGTGGTGGCACCAGCAGGGTCCTGTGCAAAGCACCGGGATGCTCCAAGACGTGGCAGGGGGGTGAAGTGCAGCTCCCCCGGGGTGGCTGGGCCGTGGGGGACCTTGCAGGGGGATGGCAGGGCCTTGAGCCACCGGGCACCTCCAAGAGGAGATGAGGGTGGACTGGAAAGCTCTAACGAGAGAAGGGGCCCCAGGGGAGGAGGGAGGAGAGGACAAGCCTCGCATCCAGCCCTGGTGATGGCTGGCTGCGTTGTCAGGTTGGCTGGGGAATTGGGGCACGGCAGGGTTGTCCTGGGGGTCAGCACAGGGCCCCGGGCACTGCTGGGGGCAGGGGGAGACCCCATTTAACCACCAGCAGAGCAGCCTTTGCCTGCACGGTTCCTACTAGAGCCGGGGACGTGCCCGCACACCTCGTCCTGCATGGCAGGGGACGCATTTCAGAGCAGCGACGTGCTCTGCCCAGGGGCTGGAAACCCCCGGGGTTCCTGGGGGAGCTCACGCCCCGTGCCCACCCCTGAGCCCACCCCTGCACCCACGGTCCCCAGCAGGTCCCTCCTGGCACCCGGTCTCGCAGCGATGCGCCCAGCCCATGCGCTGCTCGGGGTCCCCGGGGGGCTCAGCCAGGGTTTGCATGCAGAAGCCCGGGGGCATCGACTGGCCCCTTCCCGCAGCCTCGTGCCCCCGCACACCGGCCAGCCCTGCTCTGGCACCCACGGTGCCGACCTCCGCTGCCCCGGGGCTCGGTGCCTCTCAGCCACGCCGCCTCCACCCCAATTACTTGCAAAATGCATCACTCCGCGTTGTATTAAAATGTCAGCGCTTGACACGAAACATTTGTGGGTTCTGCATTGAAATGCAGCCTGGGTGCTCTCCCGGCCCGTGAAGGACACGGTGCCAGCACCGGGAAGCCCCGGGGCATGGCACAGGGCCGGGGCATCGGTGCGGTGCCGCAGCAGCGTTGGGATGGCTGGGCAGGAGCAAGGAGGGCAGGTCCCTCCCTGGGGACCCGAATTTCCAGCCAGGCTGAGTGCTGGCCAGAGCGGGTCCCAGCCCGCATCCGACCACGGTGGCAGCTCGGCGAGGCGGGACAGGGACCCTGCAGGGACAGATGGGGCCTCACGTCCCACGGCGGCGCCGAAGCTGGGAGCTGTGGCAGGTCGGGGTTGGTTCGGTTACCCCAGAGCGATCCCCCGGCACGGAGAGGGGCTTTCCCCTCCTTGTCAGAGCTCCTTTCTGCATGTCCAAGGCTGTTTTGTGTCTTGCTGGGCTTTCTCTCTGCGGCGGGTGACCCTGTGCCTCACCGAGCACCGGGGATGGATGGAAAAATTCCTTTCTTTTCTCCTCCAGAAAGCACACATGAAAGTTAAAAGCCCAGATGAGTCAGCCAACCAAGAAAACCTACTTTTATCTAAGCGTTTCCACCTACATTTTAACTTTTCTTTCTATCAAAATGATGATTATTAAAATATTCTGGCTAAAAGAGGCAATCTCGGGGCTTGAAGACGCCTTCGCCAGAGCTGGAGCCGGTGCTGGAGCACACGCTGTGCTCCTTCGCCTCCCCGGCATAGCCCGGTGGGACGCAGCCGCGAGCCGGGGCAGCGGCACGGCGAGGAGCGGGCCCAGAAATGCTGTAAATCAGGGTAACGGGGCGGCTTTGCCAGGTTTTCGGGCAGAGGAAATGATCTCCTGCCCTTCGCACGCGCGCTCTTGTCCCGGTGCTCGTGAATCACGGTGCAAAGCATCGGAAAGGAAAAGGGGGAGAAAACTAACAAAGAAATAAATTATCATAAAAGGAGCTGGAGCGAGAAAATTAAAAGCGGTGGAGGGCTGCAGCAGGCGGGGAGCGAGCGAGGAGGATCCCTCCCGGCCCAGCCGGGGGTGGGAGACTTCAGCAAGGGCAGCGCGATGTCGGGGTGAAACCCCGGGATCGGGACCCTGGGGACGCCCCGGCAGCAGGGCCGAGGGCTGCGCGTGTAGGAAACGACCCCTGCGTTAAAGGAACGGCATTAACGAGGGCTGCAAGACGGCCCCGAGCAGGCAGAAGACGCCAGCAGGGCGGCACAGCCCTGATCCCTGGCGGGATGGCCCCGACCCACAGGCAGGAGCCAGCCTGCCCCGCAGAGCCCCGGTGCGTTCGGTGCACCCGCTTCTCCGTGGGGAGCGACGTCGGGACCGGCAGACCCTGCTGCCTCTCCCCCCGCAGCAGCCGTGCCCGGACAGGGCACCAACAGCGATGTCCATGCTGTCTGGCATCGCCTGCCCGGCACATCCCTGCTCCCAAGGCAGGAGCACCGGGGTGCCGCAGCGCTGCCGAAGCCGGGAGCTCGCAGCCGGAGACAGGGCCTGGATGGAGGGAAGAGCTCACCCCTCTGCTGGGGGGCTTCCCCGTGGCACCGGCGTGGCCCTGCGGCACCGACGTGGCCCCCGTGGTACCCAGGGGCCGGTGCCTGCTCACCGGGGCTGGGGGGAGATGCTTCCAAAGAGCAGGTCGGACATCCCAGCAGTGCGGCTGGGCTCCCTCCCTGGGCTCCCTCCCACCCTCGGGGGGCTTCGGCACCCGGTGCCACGAGGTCCAGCTGCCCGGTGGGACACGGGGCCACCGTCACAGCAGCAGCGACGGCTGCAGGCGCAGCCGCTCCCACCAGCCCGATGAGGGGAGCCGGTGCCGCTGCGTTCCCGTTCCCCGGAGCAGGGATTGCAGAGAGATGCAATTGCCTGGGTTCCCGACGTGACCACTCCGAAAGAGGATAATCACTTTCTGCCACCCACAAGTGTCACGACTCAGTACCGGGCTGGCAGTTTCTGAGCTGGCAGAGGCGAGCGCTGAGCCGAGCGACGGCTGCGGCAGGGTGCGAGGAGCCAGCCGTGCCCCGCACCGTGCCCCACGTGCCCCGGCACTGCGGTGAGGGGCACGCCGAAGGGCCGCCACGGGCCTGCGGGGGTAGAGCTGCCGCTGGGGAACGGCCACGGACCGGGTAAGCACCGGGGGCATCTCCGAATCGCCTCCCAAGCGGGGCAGAGCGCTTGTCCGTGCATGAACCACCGGCCGGCCGGTCGCTTGCCGCAGCCGCCGGCTTGGGTGCGGTGCCCGCAGCAGCATGGCACGCAGGGCAGAGCAGGAGCGAGCCCAGGGCCCAGCCCTGCGCTGGCTCCCCGGGCCCCTCCGCTCCGCACAGGGGGGTTTGGGGTCACGCGAAGGTGGGAGGTCTGTACCCACAGCCCCGTCTGAGAGAAGGGTGGCCGCACCGTGCCGGTGTTCCCGGTGGGAGGACATCCCGGAGCCGCAGCCGGACTGCAAGTCCCCACCGGCGGGATGTGATGACGATGGGTGGCCTCGGGTGGCCGATGCCACGGGGGAGCCAGACCTCGCCTCGCGGTGCCGGGGCCCCCGGTTGCCTCGCAGGGCG